GAAAAGCCCGACTCGACCCAACACCTGCAGCTGTGGAGGCTGTACCAGCGGCTGTCTCAGCAACGGCTACATATCTATCATCAGAGAACTCCATCATCGCGGTCTTAATAGACCCAAATAAGTCCAGTATCTTAATCCTGACAATATCCATAGCCTCCTCATGGAGAACCTCCTAAATCCTGGCATCCAACTCATCTGGTCCAAACTGTCTGCCAGCTCCTGATCCCGATCCGGATCCGGTCTCAACGCGCCTCGTAGTCACCATACTAAAAATCCCCTTAGTAGCCGATCTCTTCGATCTACTCACAAATGCTCGTTGGTTCACAAAGTTAGATCTACGGTTGGGGTATTGGCAAGTTCGCATTGCAGTAGGAGACGAGCCAAAGACAACATGTGTGACCAGGTATGGATCATTCGAGTTCTTGGTCATGCCCTTTGGACTCACAAATGCACCAGCCACATTTTGCACCCTCATGAACAAAATCTTCCACCCGTTCTTAGATAAGTTCGTAGTAGTGTATCTGGACGACATCGTAGTCTACTCAGAAACGTTGGAGGAACACGTGGAACATCTAAGATTGGTTTTTCAGTCATTAAAGGAAAACCAATTGTATGTGAAGATGGAGAAATGCTCTTTTGCCCAACCCGATGTAACATTCCTTGGGCACAATGTTAAGGACAGGAAGATCTACATGGATGAAAGCAAAATAAAAACAAATTCTGAGTGGGAACCACCTAAGAACGTGTCCGAACTACGATCGTTCCTAGGTCTGGTTAATTATTATTGAAGATTCATATCAGAATACTCGGCAAGGTCAGCTCCACTAACTGATCTACTTAAAAAGAAGGTCGCATGGGAATGGACGGACAAGTGTCAAGAAACGTTTGAGGAGCTAAAGAAGGCCGTCACGAAAGAACCAATTCTAGCATTACCCGATTACTCGAAGCCGTTCCAGGTACAAACTGATGCCTCAGACTTTTCTATAGGCGGTGTTTTGTTGCAAGAAGATCACCCGGTGGCTTATGAAAGTCGGAAACTTAATGAGACCGAACGAAGGTATCCGATACATGATAAGGAGATGACAGCGATTATACATTGCCTTCGAGTATGGAGACATTATTTACTCTGGAATCGGTTTGTGATTCAAACTAACAATGTCGCTACAAGCTACTTTCAAAATCAGAAAAAGCTAAGTCCCAAGCAAGCCCGTTGGTAAGATTTTTTTGGCTGAGTTTGATTATGTCATGGAGTATAAGCCAGGGAAGGCAAATGTCATCGCCGATGCTCTAAGCCGGAAAGCGGAATTGGCAACCATCTCTCGGTTAACCTGATCCTTTACTAATCGCATCAAAGAAGGAATAAGCCATGACCCGTTAACAAAAAGCTTAATGGAGATGGCTAAAGAAGGGAAGACCCGAAAATTTTGGGTCGAAGATGGACTATTACTCACTGTCGGTAATCGAATGTATGTTCCGAAATGGGACAACTTAAGGAGAGAAGTATTAAAAGAATGCCACGATTGAAAATGGGCAGGGCATCCTGGAACACACCGAACCATGGCAAATGTAGAAAAGACTTACTACTGACCCAGGATGAGGGACGATGTAGACGCCAATGTTCGGACATGTCTCGTATGCCAACAAGACAAGGTGGAACAGTCCAAGTCAGCAGGGTTGTTAGAACCGTTGCCGATTGCAGAGCACCCTTAGGAAAGTATAACTTTGGATTTCATCTCGACCTTACCTACATCTGAAGGTTGTGGTTCCATCATGGTGGTCGTAGACCGTTTCTCCAAATATGGGACGTTCATCCCCGCTCCCAGAGATTGCACAGTCGAGGAAGCTGGTCGGTTATTCTTCAAACATGTGGCAAAGTATTGGGGAATCCCTCGGAGCATCATAAGTGATAGAGACCCTCGGTATACTGGGAAATTTTGGAGGGAATTATTCAAGCTCATGGGCTCCGAGCTCCATTTTTCGACCAGTTTTCATCCGCAAACTGATGGACAAACCGAAAGGGTGAATCATTTGCTAGAGATTTATCTAAGGCACTTTGTTAGTTCCAATCAACGGGATTGGGCTAAGTTGATGTAGCCCAATTTTCATATAATCTACAACGGAGCGAGGCTACTGGAAGAAGCCCTTTTGAAATTATCATGGGTCAACAACCTTTGACACCACAAGAACTAACTAGGGGGTATAAAGGCACTAGCCCACCCGCATACAAGTTCGCTAAAGGGTGGAACGAGGAACTTGGCATAGCAAGGTCTTACTTGAACAAAGCAGCCAAACACGTGAAGAAGTGGGCGGACAGAAACAGACAACCGCGTGAATTTATGGTTGGTGACGAGGTGATGGTGAAATTTCCCCAGAGAATGTTCAAGTCCACTCGACAAGTGCACAAGGGCTTAACAAAAAGATATGAAGGGTTGTATCAGGTGATCCAAAAGGTCGGGACTAGATCATATAAGGTCGACTTACCAACCCACTTAAAGGTCCACCCTGTATTCCATGTAAGTCTCCTTAAACCTTATAATCGAGATGAAGAAGACCCGTCTAGGAGTGAATCACAACGAGCTCCAGTTGCGAATGTGATCTCCTTTGATAAGGAAGTAGACGAAATTCTAGCCGATAGAGTAATTCGCAAAAGAGGATCACCCAACTGGACCGAGTACTATGTTCGATGGAAGGGACAACCCGATGCGGAATCTAGTTGGGAACAAGAACAAGACTTATGGCAGTTCAGAGACAAGATCGAAGCATACAAGTCCAAGGCTTAACGAGGATGTCAAGGATTTCAGTGGGGGAGGGTGTCACAAGACGGTGTTCCAGAATTTTCCGGACCGATCCAGAAGATGATGGAACTAGTAATCACAATCCTGAAGAACCTAGAACGTCCTAGAATTCTTTAGGACACTAAGGAATAGCATGGAACCTTATAGAACCTTGTATACAAATTAAGATGTTGTAAAAACGATCTAGAATACTCGAGAATGTACAGAACCTAGAAACTTCCCTTTGAGGAGGTGTAAGTATCCTATAAATAGGGGGGAGGACTCATTTGTCCAAACCATCGAGAAGTTCACTTGTAAGAAGTTGAGTTGTATACAAAGAAGCTTTCTTTCGTACTTTAAAGTGTTTTCTATTGTTCTCTTGCTTCCTTGAGTCGTTAGTACATCTAGAGTATCGAAGTTAGCCTGACTTAGTCAAGAAAATACTAAGTGGCGCACGGTGATTGAGTCATCCCGTGACACTCCGCCTTCCATAAGGAAAGTATCATTGTTCTTAACTTTTGCTAGATCAGATTTCCACAACCTTAACCAATTAATTACTAAAACTTTCTCTAACGATTAACCTATTTTAAATCCATCTAAACTGTTTACTGTTGTATAAAGTCCCCTACTCGGCATATTTACATTGCACCATTCAAAAGCAATGATGCACTTATTACACATATACGTATAAAAAAATGTTGACTATATTATATAGTAGTTATGAACTGATTATTAGATAGATGAAATCATATTGAGTTTTAATAAAAATAAATTAATTAGTAAATAAATAATAAATATATGAAATTTAAAAATAATTAGCTGAGAAGAATGAAACATTATTTAATGAGGGGTTAATTAATATATAAAAAACACTAAAGTATAACAATCATTTAATAAATAATATAATAAATAATATGTGGCCAATAGGAAAGGCAAAGTAAGTCATATGTTCCAATGGTAAACTGGTAATAATGTTTAAGTCATCTTTGACATCTCACAACTAGTTTATTTTTCCAGTTTTTTTAGGTTGTCATATGTGTGTCAAAATAAAAAGTAGCTTATAAGCTAGCTTTTTTAAAAGCTACGGCGATTAGCATTTTCAATGAGTTTGTTCAGCTTTTCTAAAATTCTCCTAAATATACCATTTATTAATTAAACAAAAACTCAATCTTCTACGTGTCTTTTTGGTAGCTTATAACCTAGTTTGAGCAAATGTAGTTCTTTATCAGTTAGTTTTCAGTAATCCGTCAAACATAGCCTAAATTGGTTATTGTAAATAGTAATAAACTCTTATACTGTTATACATATGGACAAATGCAATTTAACTACTCCAGCTATGAAAATCCATAAGTTTCAATCATTATTCATCAATTTGAAGTGTCAATAAGACTATGGTTGAGTACGGCTTGTGCAGAAGTTGGAGATTGATCCATTTCAGTTTTATATGATTCTAATTTCTTAGATTACATGTTTCCTTTTTTTTTTTTTTTTTTTGAAAAGCAAGGTTCCATTTGCTTACCTTAGTTCCTTTTGATTATTTTTGCTTCATTTTAGGTCTTTTTAGGTTAAATTGTACATGTACCGATGTACAGTTCCATATATGATTACTTATGAAATTATATTAGATTAGTTTTTTTGTCCTGATTTTCTGCTTAATCCAACAGTACTTTAGTTGTTTACTTTGGTAATTGAGTCATAATTCATAACTAATATGATGATATGAAACAGATTATCTTCATAATATATAATGCGCAGAAAAAGTGATTCTACTTAGCTTTGCTATATTTTCTAGGGTTTTATTGATTTGGCATTTTGGTTTCATGTAAGGAAGTACTATTTTGTGTTAAGAGCATTCCTTTCTTCCACTGAATACACAAGCTTTATGATTATGGGTGAATTGTCAGTAAGATAAGTATTTAGCAACAGGATAATGAGTACACTTTCTTATCTTTTTTGTTATAGTTACTGGAACATTTAGATCAACGTGGGGTTGCCTTTAGTTTCCAAATTCTTGTTGGTTAAAATTAAATGTGTTGGGGTGATTTAGAATATTCTCCAAATCAATCAGCTAGCAAAAAATTTAGAAAGCAGTTAAGTCATGTATGTTGCTTTTCCAAAAATCTATATATTTTAGAAGGGTAGTGTGCTTGTATATACATGTATGCTTGTCACATGTTTATACCAAGGTCTCGGATATTTATTTTTGTTTTGCAAATGTAGGAGGGAATGACTAGAAACCAAAACCATGATGATGCATCTAGCGTGAAGAGGATCAAGAGTTGTGACCCTTGGTCAGATCCTAACCATGATGTGCTTTTCTTAGTTATGATGCAACTTGGAGTATTTGATTTTCTTGCATTCAGCAGAGTTTGTAAGTCATGGAGATCATTTGCACTGTCTAGCTAACTGGAGCAAGTTTATAGTATCCAGACCACCCATGTCCATATCAATCTCTACTTATATTAATAAGGATGGTCGCTATCTATATCTAGAGGACTTTGAAGGAAGAAAGTTCAAAATCAGCCTTCCCCATTTGCTTATAGGGAGTGTATTGGAGTAAGTTGTGGTTACTTCATTCTGTTTGGTGGGAAAACTCGTGACTTCTGGCTTGTGAATCCTATCACAAGGCATGGACTTCATTTCCCTGATGTCCCTTTTGAAGTCTTTCGTGGTTATGCAGTTGTCAGGGTTATCCTCGTTCATTCACCTCCAATATCTGGGTGGGTGTTTCTTGTATTAAATAAAAAAACGAATGAAATATGGTTTTCTATAGCGAGTAAACGAGTATGGACTCTTGTCTCTGCATCTTTCCTCATCCATGATTTATATGCTTTCAAAGGGAAGATATATGTCCTAAACTCCGCTTATGGTTTATATGAAATGCTACTCTATCCAAACCCCAATTTGACTTTACTCAAAACCAAGGACTTTCCAGAGTTAGACGACTCCTCACTTCTAGAGTTTGCAAATTCCCCTGAAAACCTTTATGTGATTAATCGAAATTCACAACACCCATACAAGATTCATGAACTAGATTTTGGCAAAATGAAATGGGCGTCACTTGAAAAGAGAACAGAAGAATATGCATTATTTCTTGGCAACTGGAAACATCATGCTGTTGCAATACCAGAGTCGTGGGTTGGCATTAGCTCGCAATACAGGAGATTGAAATATGTCCGCACTAATAAAGGTGGAAAAAGTAAGCTCTATTATGCAAGCATGTGGTATTTCTTCCATGATTTTTTGGATGCTAATCTAATACATGAATGATTACTTGTTAGCATGCTTATCATCGTTTTTATGATGGATGTGTATCTTAGAACATTGTCAATGCAAGGCTTTTGAGAACAACCATTAGCGTATTATATTATTACACAGTTTGGATTGTGCTCTACTTTTTTTCTTTAGGTGGATGCAACTGTCACTTATATCTCATGGATTTTGTTCTAGCTTTTTTCTTTAGGTGGATGCCACTGTCACTTATATCTCATTTATTATTCTACTTATTTTTTTTTATGCCTAATGCACTATTTCTTTTATATTCTGTTTAATTTCTTTTTGTACCTAATGCACTGTGTACCTAATGCAATGTAGATGAACAACCTTTTTGTGGACTTTTGGAGTGAACTGAAAATGTTGTGAATATTTCCATAGTTATATGTTCGGACAATGGACGGAATCCGCTGAACATGCAAAAGTCCCATATTTTCCATAATGATTTTTCTTCACAACAACAATATGAGATATTGTGATTATCGTCTGAAACCATCATGGAAGAGCCCGTGGGATTTTGAGGCGTATCTGATAGCTTATCAGAAATAAATCGTTATTTGTGTAACAATACTTTTTACTTGGCCATATACAGTCTTGTTCATCAAACAAAAGCTAGCATACCCTCAAAAAGGATATCTATGTGATTGTAGATCATAGCTAAGCATGTACATTCACTTCTATGCACCCATGTGGAACAAACCACATTTGTTATCATACCATATAGCATAAATGGCGGATAGCATGTCATGGCCTTCTAACATAATCTATTTCAACAACGCTCACTAATGAATCAACTTTCTAACATGTAATAACGATCAAACCAAAGAGAATATATGATATATCAATATGACCAAGGGAAGGATTCTATCTCTGTCCATTCTCTCACCAACACGACATTCTCTTTCCGTCCATTCTCTCACCAAGAAGACATTCTTTTTTCGATCACTCTCTCACCAGGAGGATATTCTCTCTTCAACCATTTTGATCTAGTCTTCACATCCTAACACTCCAGATGGAAGGACTTGCATGCACTATTTTGATCAAGTCTCCCTATTAAAACGTCGTGATTTTTTAACATAAAATTTTCATTTATTTTAACATCTATTTAACGGAAAATGAAACGGAAGACTTTAGTTAATCAAATCAAACATTTTCAAAAGAAAAACCACAAGGTTAAGTTCTTTCAATAACAATCAAAATATTAAAACCTTTTAAATTTAGCAGAAATGAAATATAAAATAGGTAATAATCAAAACATGTCTAAGTGATATCCATTACTCAAATCTCATACTACCCAAAACAAAGTACCAATCCCATCAACCCAAGCTCCTCGACTACTTGTACCGATCATATGGCACAAAGTTAAAGAAACAATTGTCGGTCCATACCTCCTGATGAGTGAGTCAATACGAATTGTACACAGTCAAAGGAAAAACATTCAATTCCAGGTCAATCGTTCAGAATATGATAAAGCATACATGTAACAACCATATACTACTTATCAACTAATAGCATTAAATAATCATTCGACAACATTATCAACCACATTTACATATGTTCAACCGCATTTTATACCATATATATATATATATATATATATATATATATATATATATATATATATCAATCGCATGTATATTCATATATAATTTAATCAACCACATAATTTGGAATCAACCCTTTCTTAGATATTCGACATTTTTGTATTTAATTATCCTTTTTATATATGATCGACCTTTTATCATATAATCAACTTTTTAGTATTTAATCAACCTTTTGATATATGATTGAACTTTTATCATATAATCAACCTTTTATTATATATATCCAACCGTATGATAAACAAGTGTCTCTTAGTGTAACCTAACCCAAGGGAAACACCTCGTTCTCTACTTGTATGTTCATTCAGTCGAATGTTCTAAGTGGATTATGACTTCCACCCGAAATACCAACCCAAATGCTCCACTTTCGCTACTCTGACTTTATGAAATACAAGTACTTTGTGGTATTGTTCAGGAATCGGTACAAATGGTGCCAACACTACATTAACACCTCCTGATACCCTCGTGATGGTTGCACTGATCCATAACCAAAGGACAAACATCACTCCAATCCCCAAACACCGTATTGTACAGGTACTATATGTCACGAGGTCTTCTAGATAGACCAGGTGACTCACAACCTTTATGGCTTAAGCTCTTTTCCTATAATGTGATCTTTCAACCAAATAGACACTCGAATAACCCAGAGAGGGTTTTAGGAAAAGTACTATATTACCCAAACCAATTAACATACCCTGCAATGTCAACCATTAACCATGTAAAACATGCATCTCATATAAACGAAACGAGCATTCTAGCATGTGCATAATCAACAACAATCCATATAAGCATAGTCATTTATCGATCATATCAAGGAAACTATGCTAGAATGCCATCAACTAGATATTCAACACAATTAAATCAATATAATTGAGTCCAAAGGCATAACCCATAGAATACAAAACATATAAGTAAAGTATCACATATGAGCATAAACGATAGAAAGTATTATCCTAATGTGAATCAAATAACCATTCATAAAGTGTAGTTTCCGACTATGCATATATCTTAAGAAAACTATTAACTCACCTTTTACCTTGATGAATATCTCGTTCTACTTCAAGTCCCGAGCTCACTTGAAGTTGTCAAATCCTCCCCTATTAACACATATAAACTATATCACTAAGTGATTCCAATTTTATGACTCACACAACCATAACCATAATACTTGCATAAATTCATGTTTACTTATTAAGTTTTCAGAAATCCCTAACCTGGACCATTGTTCAGTGTTTGTAACATTCATAAAATTTCACAAAAATTTAAAACTTTTGAAACAATTCCACAAAACACCACGGCTTACTAAATACTTTTCAAACATAATTATTATCAGAGTTTTTCCCAACGATCATAAAAAACATGAGGAGGTGCACGATCACGCCTTTTCCTTCTTGCGATCATCTAAGGTACCTGAAACATAACCCAAAAATGTAAGCCCAAAGCTTAGTGAGTTCCCCCAAAATACCAACACAATACAGATGCAGTACAATAATCATAAACAACATGCATAAAGAGCCTTCAGTCTGACTCGGACACCCCACCGGCCTATAGTCTATCTGGTACGCTCACAGAAACTTCAGCATGACTGGTACGCCCCATTGGGCCTTCAGCCTATCTGGAACGTTCTTCGGGCCTTCGGCCTGACTGGTACGCCCCACTGACCTTCAGTCTATCCGGGACGCCCTGGGTCTGTTGACCTTCAGCATAAAGCAACACCGTCTCAACCCACCGACCATCACACATCAACATATGTCATATCAGACACTAGCTATCATGCACAAATAGTCATATAGATCAACATATCACTATACATAACATCATACAATAAATCAGGATTCAATCCAAAGGGTCGGCCTTGGTGCCTTAGACCCTATTAGTATAGTGAGGAAAACTCACCTCACATAGCTAAAAGACACGAATAACCTCTGGTGCTGGTCCTACAACTCCCGAACTATAAATTGACAAATAAAAACCAATTAACATTTGGGATCTACATTTTAGCCGTAAATCCCTATTTGGGTAAAAAGACCATTTTACCCCTAACCCAAGTTGTTTCATGACTAAAGTCCAATTTCACGATCTATTAGGTCCAAAAGTCCAATAATTCATCAAGGCCCATAATATGGCCCAATCTCCATTTGGGCCCCAATCCCTACTCATGGTCCTTAGCCCAAGGCCCAATGATATTTTTGGCCTAAACTCCCAAAATCAGATAGCCCAACTAAACCCTAGCCTTCTAAGCCCAAAAAGTGGCCCAAATCCAAGGCCCATCACCAAAAAGCCACCTGGCTGAGTACGCGGGGCGTACTCAGCTTGGACGTTGCGCATACTGGCTCGAAGGCTTGTACGCCCAGCGTACTCTTCCAGATTAGCCATCTTCAATTTTAAGCTCTTAACCCATTAAGACTTTGCTCCAGGGTGTAAATCTGACCTTGAGCAGGATAGACACGTAAAGTTGCTAACTTTACGTTCATGCAAGGTTAAATGAGGCTCTTTATCCCAAAAAGGGCTTAGTACATGACTTAATGCTTGCATGGGACCCTTAACTTCATAAAGATGACACCTTTTATCTTAAAGAGGCCATGAACGACCTATTTCTGAAAGAATAGGTCTTGGAACGTCCTAATTCTATTATTCACTCAATCCATGGCTAAAATCATAACAAGTTAACCCAAAAGATATCTAAGCAACTAGTAATCAAGATAAGGACTTGATACCTCCAAATCCTTGCAAAGTAGGTAGTGGTTCTGGATCCAAAGCTTCCCTTCCAAACTTGGCAACTTCAAGATCTTCAACTCCTTCAAAATGCACAAATAACCATCAAACTCTCTTCAAATGCCCAAATACTTATTAATGGAGGCTATAATCTTGATTTTAGGGTTTTTGAGGCTTTAGAGGCTGATAAGGAGGCCATCCCTAATGAATAAGGTGGTTTATATAGGGTGCATGACCCTCCATTAGGGTTACATTAAAGTCCACGTACGCCGAGCGTACACATGTGTACGCCTAGCGTACGTGGCGTAGTTCCCGACTCGGCATCGACTCGGTATGCTAAGAGTACCAAGTGGTGTGCCCCACGTACCGGCTTCTCAGCTAGTACGCTAAGCGTACCAAGTGGTACGCCCCACATACTACATCAAGGGATTAAAAGAAAGACTTGCAAAAATGAAGGACCAAAAGTGAACATACCAAGACCGGGGTGTTACAATTCTCCCCCACTTGAACTAGACTTCGTCTTCGAAGTTTGATATCACGAACAAATCCGAATAATGCTCCCGCATATCCGCCTCCGGCTCCGAGGTCCACTCGGAGCCCTTCCGATGCTGTCATCGTACCTTTACCAAAGGTACTTCCTTGCTGCGCAAAACCTTCGCCTTCCTCTCTAATATAGCCACA